CCCCGCCGCCGCCGCCCCGCTCTTCATGCTCGACCTCTACCACGCCGTGGCCGGCGAGGAAGAAGGGGAGGAGGAGGAGGAGGAGGAGGCGGCGGTGTCGCGGCCGGTGCTCACCGGGCTCAGCACCCAGAGCCCCCCGCCCGGCAGCGTCGTCAGCCGCGCCGATACCGTCGTCAGCCTCGTTAACATGGGTGAGCCACGCACCGGGGGCACCGGGGCGAGTGGAGTCGGGGGGGGGGAGGGGAGGGAGTCCGGGACGCACCGGGGGAACTGGGGACACCGGGACTTGTAGGGGGACCGGGTCGCACCGGGGGGACCGGAGCCCGCGGGGGCACCGGGCGGGAGGACGGAGAGGTGCGGGCAGGATATTGGTGACTTTAGCAGGAGCGGAGGGACGGCAGCAGACAGGGGCGCACCGGAGGGACCGGGCGGACCGGGAGGCAGGACCGGGTCTCACGGGCGGGACAGGAGGCGGAGGCGGCGGTGGAGCCCCGCACAGGGCAGCGCATCCCCCCCGGTGCGCTCGGGTGGCCGCTCGCAGCTCCCAGAGGGAGACACCGGGGGGCACCGGGAGGGGGGCTCACGGTGGGACGGGGCGGCGGCGCTGCCGGGGCTGGGAACGGCAGGAAGCGGGGATACTGACCCCACCCCCGGGTAAATCCCGCGGAGCAAACCTGGTCCCAGGCTGTGGGCAGGGGACCGTGGCTGTCGTCCCGAGAGCTCCGAGCATCCCTCGGTCCCGGGGTGCTTCCTCGTGTGTCCGTGCTCGGAAAAGCCTCTTGTGCACAGAACTGAGCTTAATTACAGCGGGAGAGAGGCTGAGAGGGACACGGTGGCCGTGGGGCTGCACCCTGGGTGATGGGAGAGAGCCACTGTGGTGTTCCACCCCGGAAAAAAAAAATCCAGCTCTGCTTAAAAGAGTGGGGATGGAAAAAATCATGCAGTGAGGGAGGGCTGGGGCGACTCGGTGAGCTTGTCTCCAAGTTAAAATGAACTGGGCTGCTTCCCCTGAGCACTATCTCCATCATAAGGCAGCGAAGGGAGTCTGGGAACCACCGTGGGATGAGACAAGTTCATCCCTCTCCAGGGAGCCACGTTGCCCACCCCACACTCCCCATTTTGGTGGGCACACACAAACAGGTCATGGAGTGAGTCGGGGTGGGGGGGGGAACAGGACAGCAACTCTCGTGCCAGCGGCAGGGTGCACCGAATTACCCGCGGTGGGACACTGAATCACGGTTCAAAATAAAATCCTCAAGGTTGCTAATTATTGCTGGAATCCCGTCCAGCTGGTTACTGAGCAATGCCCAGCTCCAGCCACCGTCTCATTTCCAGGCAGTTGCATGAGCGGCAGTGAAAACACAGCTATTTCCAGCCAGCATCATTGGGGCTGGGCCCCCTTTCCTCCCCTGCACCCCTCCAGGACCCCCACGGGGTCCCTTACTGAGCATGGGGAGAAACACTCCCCAGGGAGCCCAGGCAGGGAGGGGACCTGCACCCTCAGGAGCAGAAATGAGTGAGGGAGGGCTGTGGAGGTGTCTCCCAAGTTCTCTTCATCCATTCTTACATTCCCTGTACCACCTGCAGATGGAAAGAGGCCTGGGATCTCCCTGGGATAGACCCTGCTGCACCAGGTGATGGTTGAGGGGGGGTCCATGGCAGCAGGCACCCAGCACCCAACCCCTGGGGCTGTGGGGGCTCAATGATCCAGGGAAGCCAGGATGGAGGGAGGCAACTCTGGGTCACCTAATCCCGGCTTTTTCAACACTCAAGACCACACAAGCATAAAAAATTGTTTTAAAACGTCCAGGTTTGATGACAGGTGGGGTGGGAAGTTCGGGGGGGTGGGGGAGCTGTGTGGGAGGTGTGGGTGCTTGCACTGGGGTGCTGGGGCCGCTCCCCTTCCCGGTGCTCCTGGAGGAGCCAGGAGAGTTGGGGAACACAGTTCCAGCCTTCAATTTGAATGGCTTTGATTTGTGCGGCTTCATCAGCCCCTTCATGTTAATTAAATAAATTTTTGTGGGAGAAGGCTAGCTTTCATTTGCATGTGTAATGTGCTGCACAATTACCCTGATGGGGGGCATGCAAATGGGGTAAGTTGCTGCTCTGTTGGGCACTTGGACCTCTCTGCTCCCAGCCACCCCAGGGAGCTCTGTGTGAGCCGGGCCGGAGAGCGGCTCCCAACGGCACACCTTTTTCCTGGGAAGAGGAAATGACAAACCTCCCCAGCGCACAAACATGTCCCAGTTTGGGCGGGCAGAGAGCCCTGCTGGCCTGGACAAGCGGTGGGGCCAGGGGCAGCCAGGGCTCCCCAGGCAATGGGTGGCTACCTTCGGTTGAGTTTGGTGATGGTAGATCCACCCATCCCATCCCGCTTGCTGCCTCTCTGCGTGAGGATAAACCTCTTTGTATAAACCTGACCCATGCTATTTCTGTGCACTAGCTGGGGCAGTCAGGTGGGTTGTATTTTTAAGCCTTGGGTAAGGATGGGCTTGGAGATTTCTTCTCGGCCGGGGTTGAGCCACCCGCCGTGAGTCACGGTTACGTGCAGGGTATAATCACAGAGCAGAGAGGGTTGTAACGGAAAGGTGAGGAGGTGGCTCATGCTGCTGCCCGAGCCCCCCATGGCTGCCTGTTGGCACCACAACACATGTGTCCTCCCTTTCCCTCCATGGCACCTGCTCCTGCCCTGGGATGTGGCCAGGCTCCCCCCTTGGCACTTTGGGATGAAGCAGTGGGGCAGCCAGGCATCTTCCCGGCAAACCCTGACTTCCTGGGTCTGCTCCTTGTGGGGAGAAGGCAGGGCAGCCCTCGCTGCAGTGCCCCAGGTTCAGGGTGAAAGCCTGGGGCAACCTCTTCGATTTATCCGGGGAGTTGGGGTGTGCTGCTCTTCTCCCTGCACTGGCAGAGCATCGCCTGCTGCCGGCCTTGGTGCCCCCACGCAGTTACCAACAAAATCCAAAGTGCTGTTAGCAGCAGGGTCAGGATTTTTCCACTCCTGACTTCATTTCACAGCCTTTTGTACCTCCTCTGGACATCCGTGGGGCATTTTCCGGCAGTGTGGGACTGTAGACACCCGCCGTGTGTGTTTTAAATGGGAAAAGCTTTGCAAATAAAATCCCCTGGGGGTCCACATCCTCAGCTGGCTGTTTGTAGGGCTGGGGGGGGATGCAAGCGGGGGGCCAAAGCTGCCCCACAGCTGCTGGGATGAAGGCTGGGGGTACCTGGTACCGAACCCTGTGTCCTACAGCTCCCGATGTTCATCTCAGGAGGACGGAGGAAGCGCTCGTGAGATGAAGCAAGAGCCTGATAGAGACTCCGTTGCAGCTTGGGATAACTCCGGAATCTCTCCCCACTTTGAAAAACCTCCAAAGCTTATTTTTTTCCCACTTGCAAGCGAAGGATAGCATCTTCCTTGCATCTCCTTTAAACCTATTTTAGGATTCTGACCACTTGATGTGGTTGAATATCCTGGCATTTCCTTTTAATTTAGTGCCTGAAATGATGATGGGGACCATCGGGAGCAGCCAGGACCAGTAATTACAACTGATGCGCAGTTTATAGAAACAGGGAAAGTTTACAATGAAAAAGTGCAGCTAAAAATAACCCGGGGAGCAGGACGAAGGGCAGCGTCGCCCCATAGCACAGGACCACGCAGGGGCTGGGGGACAGCGGGGCTGGGCATCCCCTGCCAGGGCGTGCATGGCCCCATAGAGTCATAGAATCATAGAATTGTCTAGGTTGGAAGGGACCTTTAAGATCATCTGGTCCAACCATCAACCTAACTCTGACAAATGGCCATTTACATGTATATATTATTTTTTTATCATTTTTTGGGGGGTGGTGGGAGCACAGGGCACATTCGTGGCATTTAGCTTTGGGGAAAGACGCAACAGCTCTTTGGGGGGAAAGATGGTAAATACCAAAGGAGGGGGCAAGGAGAGCAAAGAGCTTGGGTTGGGTTTTTTTAGTGCGTCTCATCCACAATCTGGATAATCCGCCCACAGCTAATTAAGGGTTGGTGGTGCGGCTGACTCAACCCACCTTGAATCAGTAGCAGGTTCCCAGGCACGACCGGCTCGGGGGAGGGCTCTTCAGTCGCATCCTTCCCCCCACAGCAGCATCTTAGCACCCACTTTTCTCCCTGGGCAGAAGGGTGCTGGGTGCTTTCAGGATGTGACACGCGCTCCCCCGCTGCAAGGTTGTTGTAATTTTGCAGTCCTTTATAA